GGGAGCGGCACGGAACAGGAGATTCACAAATTATCAAACTAATGAATAATTTGTCATTAGTGGATCAAATCCAACATGTTAATAAATATGACCTTAAAAGAGTAGAGACACAGTTCTCTTGTAAAGTTTTTGTCCCTGAGTCTGTCTATCAAAACCAAAAAGGCACCCCTGTGAATACCAATGCTTTGCATAAAGTCATTCCACAACAAACATTTTGACAGTTATATTGTTTGTTGACTTTGGCTATGTCTACTTGTATTTCTTAACCACTAGGTAGCAGCGAGGCTCCAGAGCCACCAATGTCATCCTGTCAATCCATCATTTTGGCCCAGACCACAATCTCTCTACAACTTTATGGCCAATTGGTATGAAATGTATTCAGACATTCATCCCAGAGGATGAGTCTTATTGATTTTGTGATCACTTGACTTTTGGTTTTTGTTCAAGGTGAAATGTCTCAACATCTACTCAAGTGGTTGCCAAGAATCTTGTTGCATTTGTGTCCCACTTATGATGAATTGCATGGACCAAGGTGATCCTCTGACTTTTCATCTAGTGCTATCATCATAATCATCTAGGCATGATCAAGGACCAACTCAGATGGCAACAATAGGTGTTACACTGGGCAACACTACTGTACATTTAATCCAAATTATTTTGGTTTGATTCTATTTTATTTGTAACGCACCAAAACACAACATACTTTCGTCTTAAGGAACTTTACATAGTAAGGTTGAATCTTTGGAATATTACAATATTACAAGCCCAGCAGCTCTCACAATTGGCAAGTTTTTGTCAGTAGTGAAACAAATTAAGAGACCTCAAACGAGACTCAGGGTGGGCGGCCATCTGCCTCTGGCTGGGTTAGAAGGACAGAAATGGGGGAGAGAGAGAGAAAATTGGGGGTGGGGGATCAGGATGTTTGGATTTAGCTCAAACTGCTGCTGTGCAAGTACAACCTCAAAGAGTCTGGCTGTTTAACTAAACAGAAGGGATTCCAGCATCAATTATGTCTTGTTAAGATTCAATGTGTTGTCGGTCTACCCTCTATTCACACAGGAGCTGTACCTCATCATACTTTCACCACAGCATTTTAGTCTTTAGTTAGATAGTCTCTGTGCTTTAGAGGCAAACTTCAGTCATTAATAATATCTATTCATTGATATAGAAAAAAATTCAACATTCTGTAGACTGGGTACTTCACAATTTAGTGAAATTTAGATATAAAACCTGTGCACATCACTGTCCCCTTCCCTATTGTATTCCACTACATTGCTTCTGTGTCAAACTCCTTCCTGTGTCCATGTGTGTAATTCCGCCACTGATTGATTACCTCTGCTGTTGCGCATGGGGCATGCAATATAATTATGAGGACATTTTGAAGACATTTGCTGTCTTCATATGGAACTCAAGAGCTAGTGGTAATGAAGTCTTGGACAGGGTAGGCTTGTCGTTCAAGTGGTTAGGCTCTTACTGCCATACAGCAATATTGATGCAGCAGAGGTTAACAGTTTATCAAACAGTCGGGTAAGGGGATGTAGGAAATACAAAGGCCTAACCTCAGAAGGACGTTATGAGGCTTTTGGAAATATAATTATTTTTCTCATATGTACTATCGAATTAAAGAAGATGAAGTCTCAAGCAAACACGTCACATCTCAAAGTTTCAGAGGTACGAGGTTGTGTATACCACACACAGAGTAGGTTCATATAGACTCTTTTTCTGAACACAATTTACAAGACCCCTTTGAAGACAGCAATTATTCTCATCTCACTGAATTTCAGGAAACGTATATCAGATGTAGAAATGTAGAAGTGAAGCATTGATAGAGCATTTTACTGTTGAATAATTTCTTGTGCCTTCTCTTTCTTTGTTCTGACCACTTTCCTCACTGGGAGGCTAAAGCATAATTTGTATTTCAATTTCGTCAAACTTACTGCCCCTCATTTAACTTTGTTTCACATCTCAAACTGCACAGCCTCTCTCATAAACCATGGGAGAACATCTTGTCATGTCCAGGTAGTCTAACACAAAATGAAGAATGAGCATCTGTTTTCCCTGGCAACAGCATTGCAACTGGGTCCTTCACTGTTGTCCAAACCCCATTAGCCAGTGGAGCCATGTCAAGCAGGGGCAAAGTCGATAAGCTAGAGCCGGAACAACTGTGCACCAGCCAACTGCACTCAATTCTGCCACACTGTAGTTACGGTTACTGCAAAATAGCCGCTCTATAGCTTTGAATGGGCTGCCAAGGCACAACTGTCTGGAAATCCTAAAGTGCACTTCAGCCAAAGGGCGAGAGAAGAAAATAAAGATGAGGTAAAGTGAAGAGGCAATTTCAAGTAAAAAAAAACTAAAGGTGGGATGACTTACAGCAGCAGGACTGGCAAAGTTTTGGCTGAAAGAAAGACACCAGTTAGCCTTAAAAAAGAATCTTCCCTCCATACAAATATTTTCCATTGAACATGACTCAACATGTTCAATTTTGAAATGTTTTGCACCATTATGCGACAGTTTCCAGGTTTAATAACACTGCTTGTGTGCTCACAACAGTGTCCAACAGGCTTCAAGGAACGCCTTCTCTCATTCAGTGGGTGTGACCCAATCAGCAGCGACAGGTATATAAATGCCATATTTAAAAGACAATAGGGTCTTCAACCCGCCACTGTTTACATTGAAATAAACATTTTGCTACATTTTCGTCAGGCCCAACTAATTTATATTTTCCATTCAAATTCATCTTATAATCTTTACAGAAAAAACATAAGCTGCAGGTGGCACCGAAGTCCAGTGGCCATTCTGCCACGGTCCGTGTAAGGGTTATACCAATCAGGAAGACATGCGTAACAGATTTAAACCAGATGTTCCAATAAGGGGCTGTGACCTCTCGAGGCCACAGCAGTACCTCTCTCAGAACTGCAGGCACAGACCACACAGGTGGTCTGACTCCCAAGAACCTCTCCTTGGAAAAGGGAAGGGAAGGAAAAAAGGCCTCAAGAAGCAAGATAACTCAGTTCTAAACTTTTACTGCACTGCTGCTAAAGCTATTTTAAGCAGCGAGAGATCATGTTGGGTACCTGTGAAGAGAGCCTCAGAGGGCTCAGCAGTGTCGCCTTTTTCTTGCTACCGAGCAATTAAGCCATATGCCTTACTTGCTGAATAAAGAGTCAAACAGGGTTTTCTTTTACGTGGTTATCATTATGACACAAATGAATGAAAATGTCAGAACATTTCATCTGTGGTCACTCGGGTGCTGTGCTTTTTGGTTTATTGACAATTAATACTGTGATTTGTTCAAAAGTCCCGTCATAAACCACATTTCAATCTTCTAGATCTGGATTTTTATGGATCCACACCACATTAAACACACACAAATAAAACAAATAAATTATATATATTTCCTGACACATCTCACAATTTTAAAGAAAGTGTTTAAACAAAAAATCCTACATTTGCTTCTCCACGCTGAAATGTAATGGCATTTTCTTTGGCCCATGTTGCATCCTTCCATCAAGTCTCTTGGAAATCCATTCAGTAGTTTCTGTCTTGTCCTGCTGACAAAAAAAACTGACCTATCAAACAAAAAGACAGAGGTGAAAACATAACCTCATTGGCAGAGGTAAATATCAGACAAATTCTTGTGTGACTTGTGTGCGAGATAAAAAATTACAGGATCACAAAAGTTAATACCATTTATCCCAAGGGTTCATGAATATCATCAAACACATTTCATGGCAATCTATTTAAAAGTTTCAAAGATGTTTCACTCAAAGTTAGAGAAAAAGCAAGGGGATCACTTCAGTTGTTAGAATACATCTTGTTTGTGGATGTTTGTACAAAATTAAATGGCAATTCATCCAATTGTTGCCATGATATGTGACTGAAATGCAAAAATGTCACCATGCTGGTGGTGCTACAGGATAAGTTTGGATCATCAAAATGAGTTAAATGCATCCTTTATAGGTAACATGGATTTTAACGTCTAGAGCTCAGACTTGATATGGTGTGCTTTCCAAAAGGTAACAATATGTATATAAGAATAGGCAAAACCCAGTCCTACCTGACTGGTGTTATTTGACAGGCTTAAGCAGTACGACAGACTGTGGCTCCTGAGAAAAACATGAATGAAGGAACTCATTACACATGTTTTTAGTCTGAGGCCCGTCCGCTCAGATCGCCTTCTCTCGCCACACTTCAAAGGCACCTCTGGGAGGATCTTCAAAACGTACAGCATTACAAGCTTTTTCAGGCCTGCCACAGAGTCCCAAACCAGCCAAGAATCTGACAGAAAGTTTCTCTCCAGCTATTTGTTTTAAAGTTGGTTCACAGGTAAAAGATTCCTCATGTCATTTTCTCCCGTTACCTGGCCTCACTTTTATCTTCCACCCACTACTGCACTTCCCGTTTGCTTTTCCTCCGTTTGTGTTATCCCTCTTTACTTTCTTCTCCCACTTTTCATCGTCTTTACCTTTGCAGTGGGTTCAAACAGGAGCTTGAATCATATCAGGCAAGGGAGCTTTGCCAAGTGCTATCCATTATTCTGAAGTAATGCTGCGGTGTTGTCTTTTTTTCTCATGTTTTTTCAAATTTTGGCTTTTGTCTGCCTTAATCCCTTCTTTTTTCTCTTCTCTTCCTGACATCAACTCTATTTACCACACCATACTCATTATCCCACCATTACATCTGCTCTCTCTCCTGCCATTACACCATAACCCCTGTCTCCCTTCCTTGATCCACCAACTCTCCATTCCAAATTTGTTCTTTTCTTTCCTCAGCCAACATTTGCTGTCTCACAAATCCTTTGGATGCTTCTGTTCTTCTTGTTCCTGCTTACTGTCTGTGTCCTTGTGTCTCAAAGAGCGGCACTAGCCGAAACACTGTCCCCCTCTGGTTCGCTTTTATTCCAGTTTTTTTTAAGTGGACAACAGCTAAAGGTGTTTCTAACATCCCTCTCACCCTCTTGGTCCTTTCTCTTTCCCAACCTTCTTTTTTTTCTCCAGGAATGGGTGACCGCCACTGACCTGCTCATCTCTTTGGACAGGATTAACACCTTTGGAGACGAGTTCTTCAAGGACGCTAAAGTGTTACGCTCGTACTTCTATGCCATCTCTGATTTCTCTGTGGGGGGCAGGTAAGAGACACTTAACAATGTGCCCTCTATGAGAAGTCATCACGCTTTATCAGCAACCTTTCTGAAACTTTCAAAATGGGTAAGCTTAATCTTGAGACGTGTCCCTTGAATTTAAGATTTGGCTAAACTAAACCCCCAATCCTAAACTAAAGATTACAATTGGGGACATTTGTAACAGTGCATGGGTGACAGTATGACTTTTCATTCCGTTTCATATCAGTCTTTTCCAGATTCTTTTAGGATGAACCTTTTTTTTCTTCCATGTTACGTTGATGAATATCATTCTCAGGAAGACTTGCAATTCCTTCAAAACATATTTGATAGTGTAAATTAGCTGTCTAAACATAATCTTCAGAAGGACAGCTGTTTTGCAAAGTGATAAAAAACACCTTGTCTCCTGTCAGGTTGCCATCAGAGAGGGTAAACCAAGATAGTCCTCCAACCTCCTTCCAGTTCTTTTAGTTTATAACTCAAAGTAATGAGAGAGGACGTGGCGCCAAGGACCAGGCTGCACCTTAGTACTGCAGAAAGAAGTGGACGATTAAATAGTTGAGATGAAGCCTTCAGAAAGAATATAAACGTGATCCGACACCTGTCATAAACAGTTAGGATCACTGCAGCAACATGACAAATTACCCATCAATGTCACAACACCTGGGGGACAGACCCTCATGACAACATGTTAGCTTTGTGCCACAGCTTTCTGTACGAGGACACATGCCTTTACACCTTGGTGCTACAACTCACTAATCGACCCGTCCAACTCACAGATGAGGGGATTTTTACAGAATATCAATGTAACCACAACCCAAGCTGGACCACATATATTGGAAGATGCAGTATGTGCATCTTTTCATTCTGGTGCAACACAACAACTCAGCATATTGCTCATCGCTTTTTTGCACAGCACATATGTTGCCTGTACAGTTCAGGTCACCTCCCTCATAACATATTCAGTTAGAATTATCACTGAGCAGCTCAAGTCTGCTCCAGCAGAGAGATGCGATATGAGGATTCTGAGCCACAAGGCTGTTGTCATCTCGACCAGCACAGAAATAAGTGGGTCTGAGCCTCAGGCGAGCGTACGTCTGGATCCCGGACAGCTGGCTAAATTTGACAGAACCTGCCACTCAGTGTCCCCGTCCCCTTTCACAGCCACTCGTCAACAACAACTCTGTAATGAAACGGTACACACACAGTGAGGCATAGGTGCCACAGGGGTCCAGGGGAAATGATGGGCTTTCTATTGGCGGATATTTTGTTTCTTGTTAAGTAATTAGATATAAACCATTGAACACTGACTTATTCTACGTTTGTTTTTGAAAGTATTAAAACATACTTTTTTGTGAGCTGTACACTGCCCCACGAGGCTGTACACCTCTACAGCGGGCCGGGTTCGATTCCAGGCTGCAGCCCTTTGCTGCATGTCATCCCCCATTCTTTCAGCCCTCCTTTCCCTACTAAAACTCTCTCTCTCTCTCTGTCCTATCAAATAAAGGCCATAAAAAGTCAATCTAAAAAAACATACACTTATTTGGAGATGATGAGCATACACAAAATATGCAGTTTAAGTAAATATGATATATTTAATGCACACATTGATAGTCATAGACCTTCTGTATATGCTTGTTGTTGCATTTTATTACACTGGCTGCACAAATGAATAGTGCAGTGGTCAAGGAGGAGAGAAAACCCCACCTCATTTCAGGACACGTTTGTGCCCGTGAAGGATAATAGAAAGTGACAACTCCTTTCAGTGGAAATACCTTTTTACTTTACCCTCTCCTCTGCCATCTACTCCATTCTCTGTGTGTATAAGTTGAATCAGCAAAGGGAGAGAGGGAGTGTGTATGTGGGAAACTACTCGCAGTCTTTACATAACTATCTGTCTACGTTTCCCTTAAGATGTAAGTGTAACGGTCACGCCAGCGAGTGCGTTGATGGGGAACATGGTGGCCTGGTCTGTTCCTGCGAGCATCACACGGTGGGAGCCGACTGCCAGAGATGTCACCCCTTCTACCAGGACAGACCGTGGGCCAGAGCCACTGGGGACTCCGCCAACGAGTGTCTGAGTGAGTAGTCTGTTTCTGGGCCGCTGTCACAAAGCCCATTGGGTGCAGCCGTCTGCAAAATCCTCAGGGCGGTGTTAAATCCAAGTGTCAAGCTCTAGTCAGGCTTTCAAAGGCCCACAAGAAAAATCAGTACACCACCTTCCATCAGTCTTCAGTATATGTTGAAATTTTGATTTCCTCACGTGCAGCTTTTATATTTGCTGCTTGGGTGAGTAGATACTGCATACAGAGGTGATGGAGTGCAGTCTGTTTGGCAGCCGATTGTTTATTACAGCTCAACTTTAATGATTTGCATTTTTCTGTGAAATGAATTGTGTTCTATTATGTTGAACTCACCATCACACAGAATTTAACTATTTGTCTACCATGAAATCTTAGAAATTAATAAATATTGCTTTATTTTAAAGCCTATATGAATATGCCTGCAAGCATTGGTAACGAAAGCTTCCTGCAAGATGTGTGTTAATTTAAGTGTATGTATAAATTAGCTTTATCTGGTCTGCCTTATCACACTGCACTCTAACTGAATGCTGTCGAGGATGAATTGTAATTGGATGAGAGGTACAAACCATAAAAGGAGAGTGGCTCACTTCTTTTTTTTTCATGAATTCTGTTAAGTAGCAAGCTTGTTTTAATTACTCTTACTCTTGGTTCCAAGCAGATGGCATCTTAAATAGAGTACAGCACCCAACTCAATTAATGGAGTATATTAATAAATAAACATGCACCGTATAGAAGAAAGGCAGAATGTGAAAGCATAAAAATGAATACTCAGTGTAATTGCAAATTTGGCACAAAATTATTTCTGCCTGATCCAAACTCTTATATTTCTGTGTTATGCACCAGAGCAGCAATCATAATATACCCTCAGTGTTCGGCCAGAACAAAGACACTTTTACTTTTATCAGCAAATCTTCGTCAGGGAAAATAATTACATTAAATATAGCACAGTGTTAAAGTATACAGTAAAATAAATAAAACCCTGTATGTGTGTGTAAATATGTAAAACGTAAAAATAGCGACAGCCATACCTCCACCAAGGCTATGCCCTATCTCGCCATGTCAAAACAGAGTTACCCATTAATTATCTATACTGTGGCCACCATATTGTAATTTGTCCTTCCACAGTTTCATAACTAACCTAAGAAATGTTTGAACTATGCATAATAACAAAAGATAACTTTTACTTGCTGCTTTGTGTAGCTGTTTGGACGATATTTGCTGTGTGTGACCGAGGGGGCAATGCTGTATACTTCCTGTGTTGGTGAACTTTGATTGTGATGTAATTTCCTCAACCAAAAGCAACAACATTTGTGTTGGTGACCCCCACTTCATTGGCATTAGTTTTCAAATAGCAAAGATGGAGAGCTTGATATTTGCTGTGTTGAACCAGGCGGTACTTTCTAATGTGGGACATGAAAATTATAAACATAACCTCCTTGTCAGAGGGTCGGAGGTAATTTTTGTGGTTTGGAACAAAAAAGGAAATAGTAGCAATGGTTTATTACACAGTCTATATTCATTATACATTTTTGTCATCAAAAATCAGTTATGGCTGGTTAGACAACACAAAGGTGAGAAAGGTTTTCATTATTTTTCCTCTAACACTAGGATCTCCTTCCTCTGTTTACATAAAAGTCTTAAAAGTAACTTACAGTATATGTAACAGCATAAACACTCGATATATAAGATTATAAATAAGTTCAGCATTACAAAACATGATGAGGAAAAATGGAACACACTTTTGCACAGGCAAACAGACTTTCATATCTCGTTTCCACGTTGTGTATCAAGTGTTTTGCTGGATAGTTTTTGTACCATGAAAAAACACGTACACACTTTCTTACTCAATGTGAAACAAGGTCCAAATTGTCTTGCTCCTCTGCTTGCTAGTTATGGGAGAGATGTCTTCATGCTAACGAATCCAGGCCGAGCTGTCAGAGGTCTATGGTTTGAAACATCTGTGGGCTTGAGGGGGATGAGACATTAGTTGCACCAGAAATCTAAAATGGTTCAGCAGCAGCAGCAGCAGCAGCAGCAGCATTTCCAGTGTGAGACGTTTGCTTTGGCTGTGTGAAACTTTAGACTCCACTTTAATGTGCATTTTCAGAACATATACGTAAATTCGGCCTAATGGAATGAAAAGAACACGATCTCTGGCTCTGCAGGAACTGAGGATTTTATATTTAGCGCAGCCATTAATTAACTCACTGTTTTATTAATTGCTGATATATATGGATGCAATTGGGACACCATAAGGGCAGCTATACTTCTGGATGCCATATAGTCTACAGTCAGATACAGCAACTGACTCAGCAGTCAGGTTTGACCTGTAAAAATCCAGGAGCCATAGAAAATAAATACGGAACCACCATATTTTGTGTATTTTTTTTAATTGGTCCGTAACTGTGGTTCAAGAAAATGCTGTGGTTTTATTTGCTATATGGATATGCTAATCTTCTGTCTCATGTTAGCACTTACTTGATTTGTTTTAATTCAGGCCATTAAAGTTGTTCATACCAGCCATGTGAGCATAGTTTTTCCAGTCGTGCCTGCGTTTGCTGTGGAACTTTTCAATAGTAGCGAGTAATATGCATTTATTTAGTCACACATTATCATCAAGTTAACACGTCCTCCTCTTTTTGTCATCTTCATACGTAGGGCTCCATCTAATCTCAAACATCAAGAGGTGTGTGATTAGTATTTGTGTAACAAGACTTCTCAAGTGACTTTTGTTGTAGCATGACCTTTTGTATTTTTATGGCTTTGTAAGAGCGCTATTATTAACAAGGTTTCGGAGGGAAAATTAGTTTGACTGCAACTTAGTGCCATGTTATTTCAAGGGACATGGTCAGCATACAGAACTGACAGACTTTCATATTGACATACGATTGGCTGTGTAAAAATTAGACTTCACTTGGCTGCAACACACGTTTTCTTGTATTCATTACCTCCATTAAAAAGGGGTAAATCTTCCCTCTCTGTTCGTTTGTTCGTTTCTTTGTTTGTTTCTTAGCAAGATTACCCTAAAACAAGTTAATTAATTACCATGAAACTTGCTCAAAGGATGCCGTAGGAGTCAGAGAAGAACTCATTACATTTTGGTGCAGATCCAGAATATTGTTTTTCACATCCCTTAACATGGTGAGATTGGGCATTGTTCAACATTTCCATCATTTCCCCAGGGTATAACTCATGAGTCTTGATGAAAAAAATCTGATTTCTATGAAGAAACTGCTGAGGGGAGTGTTGGGCCTTGGTAGAGGTATACACTCTACTAGTACACAGTTTTAGTTAACATATTTTTCAGTTTGTCCTTAATCAGGTATATTGTATATATTTACACATTGTTTAAAACATTAAAAATCAATAGTGTGGTATTTGGTTTGTAGTGTACTTTATAAATATTTTCCCGTGTATTAGTACATCTTTCAGTGAAATATTTCCCATATTTACCCTCTCCCCTCTCTTTTAACTTCCTTCATCTCTATCTCTGTTCGATGTTGAGCTTTAAGTTTCTTAATGGCCAAAAAAAAATCAAGTCATGCTGTCGTGTCTCTCACTGTCCAGCGCTGCTCTGCCCTCCATATCCATCGCCTCTCGCTACTTGCATCACAGTGCTTCTGTCAATTAATAAGACTTTCATTTTAAATTATACAACCTGCCAGACTGTTAAACCAGTTTAGATCCGTTCACTGTGAGGCAGCTAGAAATGTTAAGAATAAAACAGGGATTTGAGTGAAAAACCCTCTTCACTAACTGCAGATGAGATGTTTTTTTAAATCTTTGGACAGTGTCAGTCCTGCTGTGTCTTCCTGTTTCCACACTGGTTCTTAAACCATTCTAACCAGGTGCTGACTGTAGCTATATATTCAGCTGACGGATATAAAAATAGTATCAATCTTTTCAACCAACTTGCTGCAAGAAGCATTTTATCCATGATGCTGAACTTTTCCCTGACTAAATTGGCTTGTCAAGTTAATTTCATACATTTACATTCTCAAGTATGTGTGTGCATGTAAAATATTATTCTTTCACATCAAAAAAATAACAAAAATAATCAAAATTGCAATACAGGCATTAAAGAAGGTAATATAGGATTTGTGTATTCAATTGTTATAAGTTTATTTTACCTGAGCAGAGTACAGCAGCGTGGATTGACAACACTACAACAGCGGAAGCTGACAGAGATATTAAAGTTATGTATATGTGCACTCATGCAAATAAGTGGCAGTAATAAAATTCACTAATTCACAAACAGATCGACGCCAATTATTGAAGCACAAAGGAGACATTTAGAAAGGTGCAGGCAAGACAAACCACATGCAGTGCAATTATACTGGCTATTCATGATGACTGCTGTCACTGCTGATAGAAGCCGACAACTTCCAACAAATCTGCCAAGAATGTCAAGTGTCTCTCACACAAAACACAGTAATTCTTTAGCGGGGAGAATAAACTGTAACAGACTCATGACCTTTGGAGGATTATGAAACCATGAAACCCAACAATTAGAAAATAATTAAGATAAAGCTTGAACTTTAGAAAAATAAACACAAAGTGGTATACCATTATTAAACAATGTATTATCGAGATTGCTGTGGCTCAGGAGGTAGAGCGGGTTGTTCACTGATCGGACGGCGGTTTGGTCGACCCTTGGCTCCTTGGGCCCAAATTACCCCTGATATTGTGTGTGTGTGTAGGAGCAATACCCCATACATAGAACAAGTACTGTCTTTTGTGTTAAAGAATGTAAAACACTTTGTGTGGTCATTAAGACTGGGTAAGCACTAGATTAATGTAATACATTTACCATTTATTTTCTTGCATTGGTGTCTATCTCTTTATCTGTGGGTATTTTTTTATCATCTGGCTCAGCTCTAACTGCAAGGATTTGAAAGTTACTGCTCAAATTCTCTCTTTCACAAACTGTACTTGCATGCAGCACCACATTGCAACCTTAAAAGACTATATTCAACACTCTGTTTGTACTATTGGTT